GTGACTGGTTCGAACAAGATGTCATATGCCTCCCCCGTTTTTCGTATGGCCCTTCCCCCGCCTTTTCTACCCAAGTTGGCGTCGGTAGATTTAAATACATCGTGGTGGTTAGTTTGGGTGCAAGAGACATATGTCCCTATACTCGATTACTCGATCCTACAAATATCAGAGACCAAAGGTTAGGGAGTCCACAACCTTAGCGGTTAGGTTAAGATACACCTCATAAGAGACTCTCCCCAATGATGGCGAGTCAACACCCCTTCCAGCTCACGCTTGTCACCCTTCTTCTTGTTCCTCTTGGCCCATGGAGAATGAGCTTCAGACCGCTCTCTCCCTGCAGGCCACTTCTTGATCAACACATCGAATACGCGTGATGATCGGACTAAATGATATATGGGACGAGTGGAACATGCCCACCTTGACTTCTGGGAGCACACCAGTCTTATGGTTGTTGAGGTGGTTGAAGATGCTTGACGAGGAGAAAACATGTTAGGGATAGGCCCAATTGCATGGGACCGATCATGGTGGGGATGTTGAGGTCATTATTGAGGCCTTGTTCCGTGAAAATTCATGAACACCATCTTCTCGAGAGGAAGTTGAGTCGAATCGAGAGGGATCTTGATGATCCCACCCAGACGAGATCAATGTACCGCCCCACGGTTTGCGCTAGTTGTTGCTCGTAGATTTGTGTTCATTGTGCATATAGGGGTATACCTAGTCAAAAATGATGGGGAGTAGGCGATACAAGGATCGCGCTAATGGAACTCTGAGGTTGAGACGATACGAGACACAATGTTGTACCTAGGTTTAGACTCCCTAGGTAAAAGACCTATGTCATGCCAAGTTTCTTACGCACCCGCAAGGAAAAATCACCAACATGACATTGCAGCATCAATATAGTACATACGACCAACAGCGTAAGAAACTTATCTATGTATGTGTAAGTTGATTAGTAGATAACACAATATCACGCTGTTAAGAAGGGCCCACCAAAAACCATATCTACCTAGATAGTTGGTCCCCACTAACTTTAATTCTCTCACCATGCAACTCTCCACATCATCAAATGTGCCACGTCAACATCCACTGAAACTATTTTGTAGCACATGCATATCTCATTTTAATTGTTTCATCTTCAATGATCCAGCTTACATGCATACTCTTTGTTCACACACAATTACTGAAAATAATAGCTTTTGATTAGGTCACTTAGTTCATACAAAATTTATCCAAAATTAATTTTTAAAATTCGCAGCAACGCGTAGGGAAATCACCTATAGTTATAAAAAGAAAACACACCTCGTCATCTTCCACACAGGGCAAACAAAAAAAAATTCATTATGAAATTCAACAACACCAACGACGCAAAGAAGCGTGCCCCCAACACTTCATGTAAAATGTGAAAATCGTCGAAGACAAATCTAGCTATTAATATGGACGAAAACATGTTCCTCATTCCTTCTCAAGGAAAAAAACACTTATGTAAAAGGGGTGATGACAGCGGCGTGCCTTCGGCTCGCTTTAGTGCTTGTAGTCGTCGCTAGGTGATCTATGGATCTAGATGTATTTATTATTATTTCTGGTGTTCGTTGTACTACCATGATTGAAGATGAATAGATTGAAAGTTATTCCTGAAAAAACACTTTTATGTAAAGGCATGTGTTTTTATTTTTTTGACGAAAAACTTTCAATCTATTCATCTTCAATCATGATAACACGACAAACATCAGAAAATAATAAAAATATTAAAGACATGCAATTATCCATCCAAATAATCATTAACAAGATCTCTTCTTTACCGACGGGAGTTTGTTATTTGATTATTTGTGTGGATAATGGATTATTTGTCAACATTTTCAAAGGACAAGTAACGTCTCAACAATTTCTCCCGCCCATGGCCTCCATCACCCCAAAACCGTAAACCCGTTCGCATGGCGTAAACCCAGGCCGTTGGCGCATTTCCGGCTACCATGTGCAAGACCGAAGATTAAAATCCTAGCATTATCTCGTCTTCCCCCGCCTCTTGCGGCCGAATCACCCGTTCACCACACCCTCCCGCCATGCACTGCCTCGCCCCCCACTTCCTGCTCCTCCTCCCGCTCCCCACCGCGCCCCGCCACGCGCCACCCCAGACCCCACCGCCCGCTCTCCTCCTGCCCTGCCGCCCAGCCCAAGCCCAAGCCCACGCCGCCCCGCTCCACCGCCCCTCCGCGCGCTCCCGCTCCCGCGCCGCCGCGCCGGTGTCCGACGAGGACGACGAGGAGGAGGCCGACGAGGAGGAGGAGGATGACGACGGGCTAGACATCCGCGACGCGGACTACGACGAGGACGATGACGGGGAGGGCGACGAGGAGCTGGAGGAGGAGAGTGGCGGCGAGGACGAGGAGGAGGGGGTTGCGGCGGCGGAGGATTCGCGGCAGGAGACCGCGGAGCGGAGGCAGCGGTCGGAGCAGTACAAGTCGCAGCAGGTGGCCAAGCTCGTCGCCGAGGTGCGGGAGTTCGGCGACGATATCATCGACTACAATGAGCTCGCCGGGATCTACGACTTCCCCATCGACAAGTTTCAGGTACCTGACTCGCGCGGACGAGCTAATTCTGGTTCTACACACTGAAGCCGTATGTGTTTTGGTGGGAGTTTATCGATTTTGGAGTACCGAAATGGTTGGCATTTGGAGCTCTAGCAGTGCCAGTATTTTAAGTTTCATCTAGTTTGTCGAATCCATCCATCTTACTTGCTAATAAAAGGTCGACAGCTGATTTAAATCCTCTTAAAAAGAGATCAGTATGCGAAAAATTTATTTAAACCATCTAACCCTTAATTTTTGTGGACCCCAATTTGAAGGGCGAGATGCTACATAATAATTTGGGAAACATCTAGCATTGAATTGGTTGAACCTAAATTTTAAAAACTTAGATTCGATGGCTGGCCTAGAAACGCAGTGATCAGAAAATGGGAAATAAAAAAGAGGTGGTAGCACTGCTTATAAGTTATAACTCAATCCGCTCATTCACATAACGGGACAGATATCTCCAAATAAAGAAATCATGCTTTAAACATATGATCAGATACCGCAGCTGTATTTTGTTTGCGAATATAATTTTCAGAAATCAAATCGCAAAGAAAGTTTTGTACCGGTACTGCAACACAGTAAACCATGCAATTGTGCGGGCCAATCTGCTAGTTAGATACATGTGATTACACAGGGGACATCTCTTGTGTTGTCTACTGCAATACACTTCCTAACTTTTGGCATCATGGAGCTCACAAATAATATCATGTTCTCGTTATGCAAAAAAACTTAGTTGCCTGACCAGTAAATGACTGTGATAAGCACGGAGTTCTTGCTTTTCTACTGTGTTTTCTCATGGTAGATATCTTCCAGTAATTTGTGCTATAGGATGATGTTGGAGATATTCTCTTCTTAGGGAGCTTACTAAGATGGGATCATCTTGGATGGGTCATATAGTCACACTGCAATTATATCATCAATTTACCTTAAGATGGGGCCATCTTGTCTGGTTCATATTAAGCACTGCAATTTATACCATCTATTTTATTTATTTCAGATGGCATTGTTAGTTGATGAGCTACTTTCAAGTTGTTTTGCGTAATGAGCAGCACTAAGGCTGTCATGTCTTGATAAAAAGCTAGCTTACTTGTGTTGAAATTGTAATGTTGAGTCCATTTCAAGCTAACTGGCTGAAATAGTTAGGGGGTAAAATTATTGCTTTGGTTTTCTTCAAACAAATCCACCTCTTCCCCTTCGGCAATAGAAAAAGTATTAAAGCTTGATGCTAATATTGTTTTACACATAGAGATGAGACAGTGAACACTCCTTCCTGATTATTCTTTGGAGTGATATAACATGTTTTTTTACACTGTTTCCTATCTTCTTTTAGCGCCTGGCTATACAAGCATTTCTAAGAGGCTCGTCCGTAGTA